CCGCTCTGCCCCGCCGCCGCGGCGGGCAGGCTCTTCTTCCCCGCTGCGGGCGTCCCTCTGGGCTGTAGGAGCGTTGGAGGTTCCCTTCACGTCCCGAGAGCTGGCGTCCTTCGGCCTGCCCTGCGGTAGCCGCGGGTAACCCTATGGAGAGGGGCCTGCGGAATGCCGTAGTCTTCAATGCGTCCAAAGGGGAGACTTTCACTCTCGCCAACAGCTACAAGGCCTTGCGCAAAAGGCTTCGCGGTAATTGGAAGATACAGAGGTGAGGGGCAGCTTCCTGAGTAGCGCCTGGCAGCTTTTTTTTTGGGGCGCTGGTGGGGGAGAGAAGCTGTGTTTCTGTGGTCTGAGGGTCCTGTAGAGGCAGGACCGAAAACACGCTTGGGCTTCTTGCAGCTGGCGCAGTCTTCCCTCAGCCTGCCCGGGCTGTGGGCATCCATCTCGTCTCCGAGCGAGAGTGGCGACTCCTGATCGAGGAGGCCAGGATGCCTCTCCCTCCCCACTGTGCAGCCCTAGGGGTAAGGACTGGAGCATCTGCAGTTCCTAGAGATTTTTAAATCTGTGTGTGGTGTGCACTGAATACCCGACTAGTCTTGGGGAATGTATATCATAAACAGAGATCTCTCTTCTGCATTGACTGCACTCTGTCATTAACTGTAACTTCACTGTCGGATGCTCTGCACAAGTTGTCTTCAGAGCTTTCAGCTACCTTATCTGTAGAAGAGAGAGACTGTAAGTTATAAGGATGAAACTCCAGATACAAGTTTTTGAGTCTTGATGTAGAGTTTGGGGTAAAAAGAAATCATCCCTGGTGCATATGGTATTGCTTGTCTGTCCACTACAAAGTGTGTCCAGAGGAGAACAAAAATGAGTAAGAGGAAGCTCATCAGGTGCAAAGTTTAATAGCAGCCACGATGGTTTATATCATTTCTGGATCTGCTACTGTACCTTGTTAGAGGGGCTTTACTATTTAATGGTTTTAAATTTGTGAGGGTTATTTTGGCTTGAGTTGTCAACTTGAAACCCAGGTAAGAGGATGTGAAGTGACTGACATGATTTGCTTTGTGTTTATTTGCCAGTCCTTAAAAAAAAAGAGTTATGGTTCAGGACTATATCCAAGAATAACATGTCTCTTTGTTAATCTATCCGTAGCTTAAAAGATGAGATCACATCTGAGAAACTGTTTGGGGTAAAACTGTGGATTACAGCAGGGCCAAGAGAAAAGTTCAGTGCTGCTGAGGTAAGAAGTCAATAACTGTTTGCAAATGAATTTTGGTTTTAAGATTTGTTTAATACAAAATAGAAAAGAACAGCGCAGAAGACTTTGGAACAGTGCTGCTTTATATGAACTTACACAAATTGAAATGTGAATGCTTTTCTTATAGTTTCGAGTTCATTGCAGGTAGTCAGAAACATCTACCTTCCCTCATCTCAGTATAACTTCCTGCAGTCCTGTGTGTAGCTTCTTTCACATGTGTTTGGTTTTTTATTCTGGATCTTTGTTGTCTTCTAGTTTTCAGTTCTGAAGAAATTCCTGGAGGATGGTGGAGCCATCCTGGTGATGCTGAGAGAAGGCGGAGAGTCCCGATACGGCACAAATATTAACTTTTTGTTAGAAGAATATGGGATCATTTTCAATAATGGTAATGGGGCTCACTGATAGCTTTTATTCTTCCATTTCCATTATTCTTTCCATTTCAAGGCCAGGCTGGATGAG